TAGATTAGCTAAGACTTAGAAATAGGTCAGGAGCGGGGCATAGGGTCTACCCTCGTATATCGAAACATTTTTAATTTTTTTAACCGACTTCGAAAAAGGAGGAGGTTTTCAATTCGTCGGTATATTTTATGTATGTTCAGCAATAATTCTTTAATACGGTGTCCGGTTTCAATGATTCTTTTTTTGTCAGTACCTCAGGGGTGGTCCCATATAAATTTGGTTAAGATGTGGTGATGGCATCTGCACGATTTTGACATCGGTTTTTTAAAATTACTTATAATACTTCTTTCAATCTTTTTATTATAAATACATCAAGGGCGGATCACAATGATCAACCTTCGATAATATCTTTCTCAATTACACTATTCATTGAAAATCCTTACTAAAAACTGATATAGGCCAAAATTACCATCAGAAAAACATTCAGAATACACATAATTATTTTTTGCAACATTTCAAATTCTTATCTATACGTATCTTGAGAACATTTTTATAAAATTAGTTTCAGCAACGAAAACAGTTCTAAATTACTGGTTACGATTGACTAACAACGCTAATCAATCTATGTTATCTCTTTAATACCTATAATCGATCAATGGAAAAATCAACCGGCCTACGCCATTAACATGATTCCAACACATTTTTGCAAAGGTCAGCAGGTCCACAAAAAATTACGTTTTTAATGGGTGAATTAACTGTTAGATGCAGAAAAAATGTTGCTTCGACAGAAAATAATAATTAAATTTTAATCACTATGTACCTTACATTATGAGTAAAAATTATATTCGTGTTTGATAATCAATAATGTACGATGACCATTAGAAAAAAATTACAGAGCCATGATTATTATAGTTATGGTCAATAATGACAACCTGTTTCCACTGTGTGTCAGATTTGATTTCACTTCGTCCATTATTTTGTGTTTTATAAAATGTTTTGTGACAAAAAATGAATTTAGGAAATTGAAACATGGCAATGTCATTAAATTTTTAACAAAGGAGTAGTACAATCTCATATACTTTGATTTTCTCACTGCGCAGCTTTCTGAGTGCCTTTTAAAAGGAGATAGAAAAATCCACCATTTTGATGCCTTATTACGTGTTGCCTACATCTCGGCGCAATATTTTTAATGTTTTGCTTGCTGCTGTCAGTGTCAGTGAATATTATTTTTTGGAGTCACAGTTTATTGCTAAAAAATCAGTTAGCTCACTCGGGCCAGTTGAAAGTTCCAAAATAACATCCACTCCAGGGATACAAATTCAGGATGCGCAGAAGACTGCTGTTTTATTATAGCCGGTTGTCATATATTGTATTATCCGAGTTGCGTAGTGTATAAACTGGAACATTGAGTTCAAAAGTGCCGACGCAGAGTGAGCGAACTGATTCTTTAGCTATAAACTGTGGCAAAGGCATCAAAATGGCCGCGCCCTATATTGGGCGTGTCGGACCTCTCTCTTGCACCGTACAGTAATAAGAGTATGTGGTCAGACCTCTCTCTTGCACCGTATAGTAATCAAAGTATATGTACAATCTTGAAAATATTAAGAGGGATATATCTACAGGGTGTTTTTTAAACATACGGCAAAAATTCAAGGGGTTGTTGGACTTGGACTATTCTAAGAAATTTTGTTCTTTGATGATTTTTAACATTCCGTTTCGTTTAGGAGCACAACATTTTCGAGAAAACTATTTTTATTATTTTTAAAATTATTAATAGTCTAAATAAAAATAGGTACTACACTGTGTTAATCAAGAACATACAACTTTTTTAAAAATTCGTTATTTTTATTATTTTTTAACAACATTCCAATTACTAAAAACGGCTATTTTTTCCACTTAACAAAACAGATTTTCAAAAATAATCAAAGGACAAAATATTCTTAGAATAGTCCAAGGAACAACCCCTTGAATTTTTGCACATGTTTAAACAACACCCTGTATAATGATACCGTACCTAAATCTATGATGTTTTTTATGATTTTCTACTTTTTTACTTTTTGCTTGCTTGGACAATTTTACACCTAGTTTATAAATTTTTCCACCCAGTAAAATAGATAAGAATCTATTTTATATGAATATATGGAATATGGGATAAACAACTTTATTATATTTAAAAAAAAACACTCAAAAACGAAAAATGATATCAACTTGAAATGTTTAGTAACAAATAAAGTTCTATAATGGGAAGAAGTCCTTTTTGAAATTAAGAAAAAATCATAAATCAAAAACGAAAAGCGACATCGACATAAAATTTCTAGTAAAAATAAGATGAAGAGTATTGATTTTGAAAAAATGAGGGGTTATAGGAAGGTTGAAATATTTAAAAAAAATCCTAATTCAAAAACGAAAAATGATATCAACATGAAATTTTTAGTAAAAATCCAGATCTATAAGGGAATAAAGCCTATTGATTCTAAAAAAAAATCTGAATAAAGATAGGGATTAAGGGGGTCTGTTAAACTGTGAAGAGTTAAATATAGATCACCCAATCATTATATATCTTTATTTTAGTTATCTAATTTAAACTACTATTTCATTATATTTTAAAAACAAACGAGAAAAAATCTCAAATGAATGACCACCTGATAAAAGATCATAGGCATATTATTTTCTAGTCAAAATTACTAAATGGTTTCGCAAAAAAAATATAATCTAGTTTCATCATAACATATTGCTCATATGGTCATCAACATCTGTAAACATTCATTTTTTCCAAGTAAATGTCATGCAAATCTTCCAACCTAGTATGTCATATGACATTGAGACTGGACCAGAGCAAAATAAATAGTTTTCAATGAGATGTACAAATAAAATTATTGTAGAAATTTAATTCTACTGATTAGACCTCTTAATTTTTTAGCATGTAGTGTGGTTAATATCAGTAAATTTTATTGTAAACAAAATGTTCGACAGAAATATTTTGCAGCTTGTGTTCAAACTTAACGATAGTAGAAACGGTGCTGAAATTCTTATAAAAGATTTTGTAATATTTCTAGGATGAATTGATACAATATTAATTTTTCTTAATAAAGTACGTCGAAAATTCAAACATCCTTATTGTATTGGACAGAGATAGAGAATTAAAAACCCTTTTAAATGAGCTATGGTCTAATCACTATTCATTATAGTCAAGAGTGTAGCAACTAAATGCAGGGGTCGAAACATGAGACATATAAAATAATGTGCTTTTTTTAGATTTATGGCCTAGGTGTATGTACCTAATATGCCAGTCTGTTTGTGTTTGAATTCTTAATCATGTGTGTTCTGTGCAGGCTTTGGTACTGTTTCCCAGCGCCACTTCATGAACAGCACTGTTAATTAGAATCCAACAGTGAATGGTCGAGTGGGGAATCCTACCTATACATTAGAATTTTTTTTTAATTCATTGTGAATTGTACTATATATGAGTTCGCACTGTATAACAAAAATAACCTGATAAAAAATTATGTGCCAGATGTATTCGATTATTACACGAATGCGGGAATTAGCCAGTTGACTTATTCGAAGAGACCATTTCAGATACAATAGTGTATAGTTAAAAATGATTCAATTATCTATTTATTATAGTCATAATAATAATTAGGAGGCTGGCATAGCAGCTTTTACGGGCACGTTTTAATCGTTTATAACTTGAAAACTAATTGCGATAGTAAGTTGAGCCATACGACTAGAAATAATGATTAATGAATTTGTTAAGATTCCTTGTTTTAAGTAGAATGTCAAATATATTTTTAAAATTAAACTTTTTCTTGTATCGCATATTTTCTTATTATAAAACTTTCAAATCAAACTCTGCATTATAAAAATAAATAACAGTATGAACATCCCTGAATGAATTCGTTCGTAGAAGAAACGTTTTAAAAACATTTTGATTTAAAGCGAAAGATCTTTAACATTACTACATCATCGGTCCAATGCAAAAAATAATGTTCATTATGACCTATGAAACCTTCAATTATTCTTAGAGTAGGTCTAAAAGGCCTTAATTTTTTAATTCTGTATCTTTCATATTTTTGAAAAGTCATTTGAAAAAATAGGATTAATTTAATGACTTCTATACACAGGTAAAAAAGTATTAATTTAGGATTATACATATAAGTTCGTAGCACATGGAAAACTTTTTTATTATTCATTATAGCAAAACGTTATTCTTAATAAAATTACCTAAAACTAAAAATAAAACCATCGATATCAATTATTTTCAGTAGTATACGAGGCTTGTCAAAAAATATTCTTAATAAAATTACCTAAAATTAAAAATAAAACCATCGATATCAATTATTTTCAGTAGTATACGAGGCTTGTCAAAAAATACTTTTTTACAAGAGTAAAAAGTAACTTGCTAAAAAGAAAATTTGATTAGAATAAAATTGGACACTACAATATGCAATTACATTCATCTTCACCGAAAAATAAGATTTCTTTGCACATTTCTTTTTATAACAGCCTTGAAAATGTTTTCCAGTACCTATATTTATATTTGAAATAATATTTGAAGTTTAATGGCAGGGAAAATATAAATACAATCAATTATTTGCGAAGAGCGCATATTTAATCAGTATAATACTGACATGATTAACAAAACTGAGGGATTTTTCTCAGTGTAATCCAGTTTAATTCTGCTTATATATTATTGTCAACATTCATTATTTTTTATTTGGAATTTAATTGACATCGTTTCATCAATACTTGTAGAAAATGCGAAAAAATCTGGGTCGGCACTGGAACTTCCTTTTAGGGATGCCATTGGAAATGCCAGGCCTTTGTCTGTTCGATAACTACTATGGACAGATGAGTGCGAGTAGCTTTGCCACGAGCAGTTCCTCTTTTGTTTTCGTGTCAATGCCTATAGGAAATATTTAGCGCGTTTTTTTCATCTTCCTGGAAACTGCAATCTGAATATTCCGATAAATATATAGGGTGTAACATAAATTTAAACACATTATGTTATTTAGTTAAAAGTAGGTTTTTGTTAGAGTAAAGAAATCATAACTACTTACTTTAAAAATTCTGTGACATAATAACTGGAGCAAGGAGACCATGTAAAAGACCTTTTGAAAACAGATGTCATAATATTATTAGTATTGATGTCCTTATTAAATCTTTCACATTTTTTGTCTTCGTCGTGAGGCATACTAAAAAGAAATAAAATAAAGGTATAAATAAAAGTGAAAAAAAAAAAATTGTAATTTTATAATAATAATAAGAAATGTCTATTTGCACTAAATATACATTAAAAAAAGAGCGAGGCTAAGGTGAGATTTAGTCTATGGCTACAGACATAGGTAGCAGGTTTTTATGTGAAAAATATTTCACACGGGAGGGGCATAGTCAAAATGTCTACCACCGAATGAAAAAATACCAAAAATAAAAATAAGTAGGTCATCAAATAAAACACGAAAAAGGCAAAATTCAATAACTACAACTAGACCACTGAATCTGAATAACCTCATTTGATTTTTAGCTCTTTTACATCAATAAACTTTTATTGATATTTCGAACAGTCAATACTACACTTATGGATAAAATGATCGAAGTTTTTGATTAAAATAAGAGCATAAAATAACGAGTATTTCCTCCGACGGGCATAGTTACTAAAAAGTAGAGTTTGAATGACTTCTTGAGAAATTGAATTCCATTCCTTATGTGCTGCTACAGTTTGAAGTTCTTTTTTAGTACTTGAAACAGGATTTCTTGATCGTATGCGGCATTTTAGATACTCCCACATGTGTTCAATCGGGTTGAAGTCTGGGCTATAAGACAGGATATAAAATATATAATGTTTTAATCTGGACTTCATTTAGAGAATTGTCCCTATGTCAGCTGCATGTGGTCGAGCGTTATCGTGCATTAGTACAAATCTCTTGTATTTAAAATGGTCAACAATATAACACATGATCTTGTAGGATGTTTTTTACGGGTAGCACAAAATTGATCGAAAACATTTGATCGATTACATTTAATCGAAAACATTTGATCAAATGCATGTTAGCGGTGTACCTCTACTCCCCACCACAAATTTTCGAAGTCTATACACATGCGTGTCAGGATACACGAGCGGGAGAAGGAAGACCAGCGCATAGGGATGCACACATTTTTTAAAACATTGATATTGTCATCATATGATACATTGAATCCAGATTATCGATATTGTAAAAAAACCGGAAAAGAAAATATCGATGTTTGTTTTTCCATACATCTGACACGCTTCGTATATATTCATATTTTTCCTAATTTTAATTAATTATTTAAATAACATCCTGTACATTAAACTTTGTTTAAGTATGTCGCAAGCATGTGCAAGGTTGATTATTTAATAATTATTAAATATTAGTTTTAATAACAATAAACTTTGAAGAAGTTACAAAGGTAATGTCGAGGGGATGCCCAGGGCTCCTTTCCACGGGGAACGGATCCTCCCCATAGGAGGTCCCCCTTGTAGGAGATTCCCTGTAGCAGCTCCAGCTCATAATCCTCATAATCTTCATAGTTTAAATTAAAAGTCGTTTTTTAGTATTTTGAATAATTGCGTTTTAATAGTCAGGCAAGAGTTGTGACATGTACCCCAAATATTAGTGGAGTTGGTAAGTCTACGTTTTATGTACTTGTTATTACATTGAGCCCATATTTGTGTGTCGAGCTGTGACCTATTTTGTATCATATTTTAATTATATTACATTTGTTTTGAGAAAACATTGTGTTTCCTTCAGCCCTTTTACAGAGAAGTGTTAGGTTCTTACATCAAGAGTAGAACCCTTATACAATTAAGACAATATAGAGTTCCTAAGTTATGTAGGCCCAGAGTGTTATATTTTGTTATTTAACCCCCCGGGACATAGATAGTCCCATAATTATTTAAGAACACATTCATTGTGGCACATTTAATTATAAAAACCCGCTTAACGTGACACATCGATGTGTTTGTAAAAAACATCGATGTTAACAACGATAATCGAAACCGAAAAATCGATGTTTTTTAAACATCGATTCATCGTGCGCATCCCTTCCAGCGCAGTAGGTAGTACGCGAAAAAACAGTGGCAATACAACAACAACAACATTGTATTTGAGAATACTTGATCGTGAATTAAATCATTTAAAAAGTAGTTTAGACATTTTTTATTAGGTATGAAACATCAGAAGTGGAATCACTACGCGTACTGTGGCTAATAGACTAAAATTGGTAATTTAACTAGAATTTAGTGCTAGTGATAATGGCGGACGAAAATCCTAAACCTCGTGACACTGCGTCAACCGAACTCAATGATGGTCGATGTTAAAGACAATGTGAACGTACATAGCCCAAAGCGTGCTAAATGTTAGTGATAGGAAGCATTAATAAACTTGGTAGCAGCTTAACAGCAACAAATTGCTGATTTAACGAGATATTCCAGAATGGCTACGTAGGTGTTTGCTACGACAACGCCCAGTGGTGCTGGAGCAGTAGAATCTAACAAGCAAGAGCCGACATTGGCACCTTGTGCACTCTTTTCGACTTTACTATACTCTGTTTTTAAACTAGGAGGAGCGATTTGAATTTAAGTTGGCAATTCCGTAGACTTCTGATTGATCAGATTGCAGTCAGTTTCACACATTACTTTTTAGCATTAAAATCAGCTAATAATTGATATTGTTGACAGTTCTGACATTTTATATTTTGATATTTCATTATTATTACTGAGTTTTTTTTACTTTATTTCGTAAATAATAGTTATTTTTCGGAACTTTAGTAAGCAATTGTATTGAATTTCTACGATTATGGATCCTTCTTCATCGAGTACTATTAAGGGTAGCAATTCCTGAAAAGCCCTGTAAGGAAGGGAAGACGACTTATTATTTTACATGCTGATTCTGAAGAGGGTTTTGTAGAAAATACATTATTGGTTTAAAAGGCAAAAATATGGGAGATTACCATGAAGAGATGAATTCCGAAGTATTCATGAAAAGACTAACAACTTACTGATTTTTAAAAACTAAAAATCGATAAATTTCTTACCAAAATGATTAAAAATAACTAAATGTTGAAATTTTATTTATTAAAAAATAATAAAACCATTTAGAAAATTGTTAATTCACATTAAAAACACCATCTACTATATTAGAGCATAATGAGCTAACATTACTTTCACAACATATTTTAAAAAATATCTACTAACATTAATACATAGGTATGTATGAATAATCACTTTAAATTAAAAAAATATTGGTAAAAATTATAACTTGAGTTAAAAGGACCTACAATATGAAAATGTTGGTTTCAGTTTTCAAAACAAATCCTGACAGGCCTGTAAACTTTTGAATGCCTTCATTTGGCCTTTAGCGTTTTAACTATGGATTAATACTAAATAAGCTACAATGTCTATATTACTCATACGAGAAGTTCCAGTCACTGTGTGATTCAGTTGCCATTCACAGATTACCTTTTACTTAAGTTTATACCTATAACAAATCATTGAAAATGTAAAATGATCATATTTTTATGTTTTATACTAACCTGCATCTTGATATTCTTTAAACAATTTTCATAAATATTCATTATCCATTTAAAACAAATCATAATCCTAAAAAATGTCGATTTCAAAAGCAAGAAAAACATATTTCTAATAACGTCAAAAAATCAAATTTCGTTTGACATTGACAGTTTGTTTTAGACACACTTTTCAGATCACAATAATGTGAAATTTACGACCGTTGTCTGGAACCAATAAAAACATCGACTCTTATGACATTTATTTGTTTCTTAACCCCTCATTGGCCGTTCGTTGACTAGGGCCAATGACATATAAATATGTCATTGACTAGGGCCGATAATAACAACTATTACACATAAATTTTGAACACGACTATATTTCGGAACATGCTCTTAGTAACAAATCTAGTTACTTTTCCTTGTGTAAATGCGTCTTTTCAATTCGCTCCTCCTAGTTTAAAAACAGAGTATGATGATAGCGCATATTAAAAGAATGGCTTAGTGACGCTATCAAAATAAAAGACGAACTCAGTGTTAGTGATAAATTAATGATGGCTTAAATCGAGCAACGCCCTTAAGAATTGCGGTTATTGTTATTGTTATTATTGTGACTAGCGACTTCTTTTTCGAACGTGGAAAAACTTTTGTGATGACCTAATTGTTGCAAAAACCTAATTCCGAACGTGAACTTATAAAATTATTCAGCGAATTTGATGTGATCGGTGTTGACACCTCGATAATGAAGAAAAATGCAGAGATCTTTAGAAAACCAAGAAGTACGCTTAACGATCCACGAGAAGCCGCCGCCAGAGATACCAACAGAATGCATGTGCCGCCGCCAGAGACACCAACAAAATGCATGTGCGGCCGTCAAAGACACCAACGTTAATTGAAAGAATAACTAGTGGCGCTCCCACTATGTTTACTGTAATGGTGACAATTCCACCAATGTTAATTAAAAGAGTAATTAGTGGCAATCCCACTAACGATCGAAAATAGATTTGATAGAAAAAGCAATTGATCGAAAAACCAAATATACATAAAATTGAAAAAAAAAACTCAACTAATTTACCTAACCTGTGCCTATTATTTCTTGTTATCTCTACTGTTACAAAATAAAAACAAATATTTTGGAGAATTTTTTTTACTTTTCAACACTTGTCTTAATATACTTTTTACCACATGTGTTAATATACTTTTCAGTAAATGTGTGATATTGTTTGACTTTCTATTTGAAGGATTTTTACGTGATCTCGTACGAAAAATAGTATACAAAACTCGTTGGCAAGTTGTAACGGTTGGAACCGTTATTCGTTATTTCAACACAATCACCTCTACTCAAATGTCATTTGTCATTTTCTTCTTCCTAGAGTCGCCTTGTGAAAATCATTTTTTACTTGAATGTCAACGAATCAACTAGATTTCATTTTAAATTATCTTGGTCATCCGATGTTCTAAATGATTTTAATCTATCGTAAATTCCGTCTGATTTTATAAGGTAAGTTTTAATACTGATATATTGTTGACAATATATATTTTGTACAAGAATTTCTTAAATAAAATGTCAAATTTTGAACATAACCTCAACAATGGGTAACACATGTTGGTTTTATATAAAATTATATATTATTTTGTTTGGAATAAGATATTATGCTTTACTATGTTTAAATATGTTAAATAATATTTTTCCTTTTCATATTAATTTTAGTCTCTGTGAAATTATTTATTTAATAGTTTTAAATTGTTTATTTAATAGTTAAAAGCATTTTATCTAAATCCTGTTCAAATTTCCTATTTCCTGTCATAACATTTCCCTTTCTTTTTAGCATGGCTATATCTAGACGGTTTATTTGGATTTATATCTAGACGCTTTATTTGGATTTATATCTAGACACTTTATTTGGATTTATATCTAGACGCTTCATTTGGATTTATATCTAGACGCTTTATTTGGATTTATATCTAGACGCTCTAGAAGTTTGGTACAATCTGAAGACCGTGGTTTGGTTCATCTATAGAAGATCTACACGTTATAGTTTAAGTTAGAATACCAAAACGATATCATTCAAGTTGCAGAATTACGAATAAGGATACCGAATCCCTTTGAAGAAGTTGCCTGAAGATATATCATGCAATAACATTCCTTATATTACCTTTTTTTAACTAAAGATAAGTGCTTTTAAATAAATCATCTTAAATTTGATTTTAGTAAAACTATGTGAATTAGAATTTGCTACTACCTTATCTAAAACATGGTTTAAATATAATTTGTTAGTGGTTAGTGAGTTTCTATATTTTTATCACTAATCTAAAGTCAAGTATAGTAAGTTTTAAATATAGTGGTGCCCAACTTCTTTTTCAAAGTTATTCGAGTTATTTAATAACCTAACCCACGCCCAATCAATTGAGCTTAAACACATTATAACAAATAGATAAAATATCAAGTATCACGTTACAAAGTGTATTTCTCACACTCGTTTATTTTTCGCACTCGCCGCTATGCGGCTCATGCTAAATGTCAACTCGTGCGAAATGTTATACTTTCCACACTTGTTATGTAATATACTATAAAATAAAATTGATAATAAACAATATTCGATAATTTGGTCCATGAGAAACAAAAATTTATAAATTAATCTTACCCTAGAACATGCCCTATTTCATGAGCAATGGTAAAAGATGTTGCTAGGCCCTTATCCTTTACTATGGCACATCCGGATTGGCACATTGAATCAACTTGAGCTACTCCTAGTGTTGAACAATGCTGATAAATATCATTGTCATTCCTACATATGGTATCTCTAAAAGTAAAATAAGAAGTATTTTTTTTTATTATGACCTTGATTAGGTCTCTTTTAATTAACTGTTTAGGTAGTACATACCTAGTTAACAGCACCGCAACATTGTGAGCTCTGTCTTGGATGTTATCTCTTGTCCAGGCACAGAATTTCTGTAACATTCCTGAAAAATTGTTCTATTGGTAAATCAGTGGTGTGCTGGTTGATTTTTACTCACCTGCAGAGTTTGTGTTGGAAAAATCGAGATCCGTTAGTACTTCAATTCTGACTAGAGCTACCGAAATTGCGTTCCCTATTGTTTCTTCTTTAAACAGAAATGAAACCTAGAATTTTAACTATTAGAACTTAAGATTATTAAAAATATATACGGCGGTTCTTACATGTCCCATAATAGTTAAAATATAATACGTCAAATCGTCCTGCGTAACGTGATATTTCACCATGGTTCTGTCGGCTACTATTAACACTTTGACGTAAGACACGTTGCTTAACCTGTTTATGTTGCTCCATTCGGCGTTTCGTCGCGGACGAGGTCCATCTTCAGATGTTAAATTTGCAGTATTTGTTATCACATCGCAAGTACCTTCTATATCGTTTGAGTCGTAAAGATGTACAGAGCGTTTTTTCAAGTGATGGCTTTTAGGGTTGTCAGCTTTGTTGTCAGGATCGTCTATGACAATCGTGCGATTTTCTGAAAAGAAAAATATTAATAGATGAGAGAAATAAAAATTAAATAAAAACGTTTGTTTTAATAGAAACAAATAATTTAAAAGTATACAGTATGTTGCATAAAGTTGAATCGATTTGAAATTTTTTAATATTACCATTGGAAAAAACTTCGCAGGGCAATCATCTCTGCTTATTTAAAAACCATAAGTAGCCCATATCAAAGTTGGCTACTGACATTAGTTTTCTGTCAAATTGCAAATTTTGAACGATTTTTTTAATAAACACCGAATTTGACTGATAACTAACGCAGTAGCCAACTTTAATATCGACTATTTTAAATTTAAAAAAAGTAGAAATGAATGCATCTATTTCCAATCGAAATGTTTAATAAACATTCCAATATGGAGCCAACTTTATGGAACACACCGTATAAATATTCGGTAAAAAAAACTACCGTTGGTGGAAAGGCTGCCCGCCCAACACCTCGGAGCTCATAGACAAGGCGGCTCCTGTGCTAAAACATAAGATCCAAACAAGAGATAAACGCGTAGCGATCATATGTTTCTTCATGGCCTATTGAGATAGATGGAGAATACCACCCATTTACCTTGAAAATGTAAAGGCGAGTTTAAAGAACCGAAGAGGTGAAATTATTAAGAGGAAGAGACAAATACAATTTGATCTTTATAGGCAATTTATTCCATTTTGGTTTATTTATTTATTTATTTATTTGTACGTTAGCATTTTATATATAATTTGAATAAATAGCTATTTTATAATACAAGAGTTAAAAGTGACAACCTCACGAAAAGTATTTGATGAGGTTGCAACCATTTTCGGGTTATTTGGAGCCTGTCGGTAGCGGGAAGATTGTGTAATTTATTGGTGGAAAATATTGAATAGATCATTGGTTTTAAACATTCAAAATAGAAAAAGTACGCAATTATTGCTAGGGGTGGGCAAAATAATCGATCATTCGATTAGCTTTTTTTTGAAAAATCGATAATCGACTAGTGGATTATTTTCGATAATCGATTATTTTCGATTAGGCAATCGATTATTTTCGACTAATCGATTATTTTTGATTAATATGAATCGATTACTTTTGATTATTATGAATCAATTATTTTCAATTATTCGATTATTTTCGATTAATCAATTATTTTTAATTGATTATTTTGGATTAATCGATTATTTCGAATAATATATTATTTTTAAAACGATTATTTCTATTAATCGATTATTTCTAATAATATATTATTTTTAAAACGATTATTTTAATTAATCGATTATTTTGATTAATCGATTATTTCGATTAATCAGTTATGTAGATTAATCGATTATATCGTTTAATCGATTATTTAAAATATTCGATAATCAATTATTTGTTTTGATAATCGCCCAGCCGTAATCCTTATTGTTATGTATAAGTAATAAAGAATTGTGAGATAGAACTAGCAAAGAACGAAGAACTATGAACAGAAAGAATTAAAACGAAATATCAGAACTCGCGATGGACTGAACATAGGTCAAACAGGAAAAGAAATTAACTGAAAAAGGAATAGGAGCATCCTCATTCCAAGATATCAGAATAGTGCAAGTGTGAAATTTCCGCCTCCCATACGGACTATGTAGTGTTGACTGTAGTCCTAAAACTAAAAAGGAGTAGAAGAGGGAGTATTCGGCAAAAAACAAAGAGTTGAAATAATCAATAAACCTCTGCACTTTTGCAATAAACTTCCAGCAGAAATGACCCTATAGAATTGGGAGACAGATAGTTGAGCAATCTTCCTCTCACTAGTAGACTATAGAGATTTTTTGAAAAAGCCAGATACCCCTTAGGCTCTAATCGAGCTGATTCAAAGCTGGATTAGAACTGCATAAATACCCTAAAGCAGGCCTGCACAACATACGGCCCGCCATTGTAGTTTTCGTGACCCTTTGTTCGTTGACCCTCCTCCTACGTCATGTAGGAGCTCGATAGACGGACCTAGTTCATTATAAGCTGATGACTATCTTTTGTTTTAGAAGCTCGATAGAAGGACTTGGTTTAGAGAATTATAATGTGAGGACATTTTTTTTTTTAGAATCTGAACAAACACCTCTATAAGCTCAGGATTTTCTTGGTCCTCGTACACTTACGGTTTTTAAACTGGCCATTTGAAAATCTGAGTTGCAGGCCTGCCCTAGCGTGTCTCGGTGTCCGGAACAAAGTTACTTTTATGTGAGTTCTGGGGCACAGCGGTGTCAAGGTCAATAAAATGTCGACGCGCTTGCTGAAAGAGGAACCAAATCTGAGTTCATAGGACCAGAACCATTCCTTGGGATTGCAAAGGTCACTCTGCCAAAGGCATTATATCAAAATAGGAAAATTGAATGTAGGAACGATCTCACGGGATCGATCATATAACATTGTCGTTTTAGACACATGAGAAGAATAGATCTACAACAAACGTCGATCTGGAGCAGCATGGAAAACGAATCTGCAAAGAATATTCTATGTACCTGGTCCACTTTGGAAATAACTAGGTTCTTTGACCTGACTGGTGACAAAAGTTGTGACTTGTACGGAGAACTATAATTTAGGCCTGAGTCATAATAGATCTATTTGGTGAAAATGATCTAACCTAACCATACCCCGACCCCTTTTATACGATAAGGGTTATCAACAGAGATAAATCAGAATATTAACATAAAAGAGTTCCAAAAGAGTTCGAAGAGGAAGAAATAAGTAAGATATTGAGGAAATAAAATCCAAATTCACATCTGGGTATGACAACATACCTAGTTTATTTTGTCAAAGATGTGCAAACGTATTTGCTATTCCTTTGTACAAAATTTTTAACTTAGTACTAAATACCAACAAGTTTCCTGATCAATGGAAAAAATCGAAAATTATTCCTTTACATAAATCTGGTAAAATTAATGATATATCACATTACAGCTCTACAGTTACACATAATTAAGTCGATACAATTTATAGACTTTTCAAAGGTTTTTGACTAGTTGGATCATGCGACTCTCATAGGAAAACTATTTCAGAGATATCTCAATAACCGCATTATGTATGTGGAATATAGAAGTAATAAAACATTTCAATTTATAGCTACTAGTGGAGCTCCTCAGGGTAGTAATTTGGCATCGTTCTTTTTCTCGTTGTTTGTAAATGATATTGGTGATCAATTCTCAAGTGATTATTTATTGTTTGCAGATGACTTACAAATATTTAAGACAATTACAATAGGAGAAGATTGTGCATTACTGCAAAAAAATTTGGATACTCTGGAGCACTGGTGTAATGAAAATAGACTACCATTAACCTCCAGAAATGCAAATTTATCTGATACTCATTAAAAACCAGTAATATTTTATTCCAATATTTCATTCAAAACTCTTCCTTAACTGAAGTCGATCAAATCAAGGACGTTTCTCGGATCATACCAACAAAAAAGTTTTAAGTGCGAGAAAATGCTATATTTAATTTGCAGAAATATGCAGAATATGCTGTTTTAGTGTGGTGTTCATATTACAACATTCACAATGATCAAATTAAAAATATTCAACGATCTTTTTTAAAGTACCTATATATCTTTTAAGCTTGATTGCACTTATCCTATCCAAGGTGTTGATAACAATCTACTTCCCAATAGGTTTGCCTTGCTTTCGCTGGCTAATCATAGTCAATAAAACTCTTGTTTATTTGCTTACAATCTAGTGAATCTTAAAATTAATTGCTCAGAAATATTAAGTTATTTAAATTTTCATATTCCGAGACTTGTAAGCAGACTTAACCATGTTTTTACCTTCAAACACCTCTCACTAACATTTATGCAAAATTGGCAATGTTTTCAACATGTTTTATCTACAATAACTTTTGCACTGGTTCCGATATATATTTTGATTCATTCATACGTTTTAAAAATCTAGTTAGAACAACATTGTAAAAGTCTCACGACTTAAAACTTATGTTTTTTTGTTTATTGTATTTTTATAATATATAGTTTTTGTATCTTTTTTATTTTTACATTTTATTATCGTATTATTCTTCATATTCCTATCATCCTATTAAATTATTCTGTAATTGGGATTTTTCCTGTAGAAACTCTTTATTTCGTAATTTGCTTTTTACTACGTGTAATCAAATTGCTTGATCAAAACTGAACTGGTATGAAATTACCATAAACCATATTTTTTATTTGAAATTTTTCCTTTAAATGCTCGAACTGCCGCATTTTTTAAATGCACAAGCTATCATTTAAAAACGTGTTTTTTAACGGAACCTGATCTACGCAAAATGCAAATTTGATCGGCGATATCTTAATTCAAAGACGTGATCACATTTCAGATAGCAATTCGAACGACTTTTAAAAGAATACCGTCCTTAAGCGATCCTTAAATAATTTTTTGATCGGGCATTAATCGGTAGGTGGTACGATTTTGCGGAGAACATTTATTGTGGATTTTATTAATTTAATCACATCTTGTGATGCGAACTTGAAATTCTAGAAATATTGACTGGATTTCAAAATGCGCATTTAATAAATTTATTGTTCCGGTATTGAGGATGAAGCATTAATAAGTATCAATTCATTTATTTTTCATGATGTTTCAATTAAATAGAAAATTTATGATACACTGATGATGACTACCAATCGAAACCAATTGATATATTCAAATATTAAATGCTTAGATTAAAGAGACCACACAGCGCATGTTGCAAATTTCAACTTCCATTAACCAACCAATTGAAAATTAGGGTTTCTGCGAAGTTACCCGAATTGCAACGAAATACGGGACATTTTTATTCTATAACTATTTTCGTCTGACGTTTTTTGAACTTTTTTTTGGTTTTTTGGTTACTCCATTTCACATTCAAAATGCCACGTTGTATCGGTTGCATCGAGATGACAAAATAAATAAATATATCGATATATCGAAATGTAAATATCGATCATAAAATACATCGATAGAAATATATCGATAAAAGCCCTATATCGAATATAGAATGTTTCAAACTGTCAA